TCATAGTCTATAACCTTGTCAGTTTCCTGGCAGGATAATCTTGGTGGTAACAAACCGTTTGACGATATTATAAAGTTCAAGTTGTCTGCTTTGAAATACCATTTCGATCTCCAATCTCAGCAAATGACAGTCCACGAAAATACAAATCGACAACTCTTGTTCTCACTTCAACTGTTTTTTTGACTCCGATTTGTAGACACGCAATCGACACGATGACCGACCAAAAGTGAATGAAAGACAGACTAGACGCGCCACAAAGTCTAGGTGTGCCTGACTTTGTAGCAAAAATGGAAAACTTTGTGGGCAATATCTGTCAATCACTCCTCTGACTTGCAGCCAATGTTTATATTTCTAGTTACAACTTATATAAATTTGGAAACAAAGTGTGTAACCTATTGTAGTAAGTTATCAACTATCTAGCACTACTTCAGCGTCAAATCAGTGCCTGGAATTGCTGTAAATAATATGACAGAACCCCACACCCTCCCCGTGACTTTCGTTGCGTATGGAAGTTGTTTTCGTTCGTGAAAGTACGGCCGCAGGATACACCACATCTCGAGTCATCCCGTCAGACGATTTGAACCGGACAAAAATAGCAGACGAAAATATGTTTACAAAATAAAAATAGTTCGGTAGCCAATGGAAATACTATGTTCATTTGCATATCGACCGTGTAAATATACCGAAAACATTATTGCATGGGTGATATGCAAATTAGTTTTAGTCAAAATAAGTGACTGGCTAAAGGTACCATTACTGTTGTTCAAATTTCATTTCACTTGGCAAGTATATTCATGTACACCAAGATAAATATATCGTAATTCTTAATGTTGTTTATTTCTGCTATGTTTCGAAAAACGGTACTCCTGGAGGGACTACTTTGTTTGCTCTCATACCTCATTTGCATATTAGGTGTGGAAATACCGATTTTGATTTCAGGGACGAATCAAAATAAACTGCAGTACATATGTAATAATAAGTAATATCAAGTATTTTCAATCATTATGCGATGCCCGTGATTCCTCACGGATTTACAAATCTCACAAAGTGTATGGTAACACACAAATCACTATATGTATATGTAGAATGTGATTTGAGACGGTGTACCTTACATGTATCTGAAGTGTATGTGGGTGCTAGGGTGGTCACCATATCTACAGTGCAACATTGGTGACTTGAAATTGTCTCGATAGTATGGTTAAATAAACTGAACTTAAATTGTCACCCACCATCATCATGTCAGGCGAGACGTGATTTATATGTATGCAAATTATTACACAATAAAGTCAAAGTCGCTTCACAATTGTTCACAACAGCAATTATTACTTTACTCGTGTACATAAATCAGAGCTCTACGTCTGCTTCACTTGTTTACACACAGGGTTGTAAATTCTCCGTGTCGTTCAACACTAACAAATGGCATAAAATATGACACACATATGTTCAATGTATTCAACAATATTTAAGTCTACAGATTATAATTGCAAAAAACGTGATTTGGTATATATATTATTGATAACACAGTTTTATTACACCATAACGAAATAAATTCATTTTTGGCTGAAAGTAACAAAAGTAAAGGTAACAAGTAAAAAAAGAACGTTAAAATAAAGTAAGACCAGACAGTAAAAATGAATGCAGTTTGTGTTTTCAAAACAGACTTTCAAAAACTGTGTCACATGTCTAATTAGGTTAGTAATAATAATAATAATAATAATAATAATAATAATAATAATAATAATAATAATAATAATAATAATTTCTATTACTT